ATTCTCCTCCACTAACCTGCCCAAACATTAAAGCACAGGACTGTGCTTTAATCAACGAGGGGAGATTCCTATTACCTCTCCCTATTATCTCCCTATTACCTCTACCATACAAAATAAAGTCCTCTGTCTTCACAATCTGGGGGCTTTCCACTTTATTGCCCTCCACATACTCTGCAGTCCAGCCACACTGATATGGCACTTCATCTCCTGACTCTGTGCCTTCTCATTGGCTGCCCCCCCTCCACCCCAGACCCAGCATGCTCTCCCTCCGTTCCACTTCTGGCTTCCCTGGCTCCTCTCAAGACTCAGCTCAAATGGCATCTCCTGTAGGAAGCCTTTCTCAGGCCTCTTACTTCCTATTAGTTCATTCCCTCTGAGATTGCTTTCCACTAATTCTCTATGTAGCTAGTCATTTATCAGTTATCTTCCCCTTATAATGTGAGCTCCTGAGAAGCAGGGGCTGTGGATTTGTTTTTCCTTTCTTGTATCCCCAGTACTTAGCATAGTGCCCAGCATATAGCTGATGCTTAATTAATTCTTAATGACTGACTATTAATTGTTTCAATTAGTTTCTTTACTACTTCTCTGGATTTCCAAGTTGACCATCATATGAATGACCTATGAATAGGGATGATTTAATTTCCTCTTTACTGCCTTTAATTTCTTTCTTGGCAGATGTTAGGATTATACCAGTATCTTACAACATATATACCACAATAAGTTCTAAATAGACCTAAATATAACACATCCCATTATGAGAAAATTAGGAAGAATATTCTTAACCAAACAGTAGATATAGGAGACCACAAAAGATAAAGCAAATGATTAATTACATGAAATTTGAAAGCTCTTGTATGAACAAAGTGAATGTAGCTAGGATAAAAAAGGGAAATCTTGGAGGGAAAAACTGCTGCATGGAAATTATCACAAATATATAAAACAAGAGCCATTCCCCAATCATAAATGGACAGAAACAGTTTTCAAAAGAATTTCAAACTATTAACAACCACATGGGAGAACAAAATAAATGACTAATAATAAGACTTTTACATTAAAACAACCCTGAGGTTTCATGTCATGCTCAACAATTGAGCAAAGACTGTAAAGACACAAAGTCAATGTTGGAGGAACTATGGGAAGACAGGCACTGTAAACAGAGTTGTGAATTGATCCAAACATTCTGGAAAACAATTTGGAATGATGTGGATGAAATGTGAGTAAAATATCCATACTTTCTCATCCAGTGATACCACTGTTAGACATACACCTAAAGGCCATTAAGGGCAAAAAGAAATGTCCCACAATAACCAAAATGCTGACAGCAGCACTTCTTGTGGTAACAATGAATGTTTCTTGTGGAAACAAAGAGAGTATGTACTCACCAACTATGTAATAGCTGAAAAAAGATTAGAGGAGAGATTAATGGAGAACTAGATGGTGGATCAGATAAATACTCACTGACTACTTGGATGAAGAAGACTGGTGGCAATGTCATTTTGCTGCACAAAATGACAAGTATGAGGCATGTGGAGAAACACTGGAAGATTTGCATAAACTGATGAGGGTCAGTAAGCAGAACCAGAAAAGGAGTATACACACTAACTACAAAGATGCAAACAGAGAAACAACATGAACCAGATTGCTATTTAATCTAAAAACCAATGTTAACCCCAGAGAAGATTTGAGAAAATGCACTTCTTTCCTTTACTCAGAGATGTTGGGGACTATGGGTATAGAATGCTTTATGTGCTATCAGATGATAGTTAGTTTTGCTTAACTATTTTCCCCCCTTCTTTGTTACGTGGTAGGCTCACTGAGAAAGGAAGGAGGAAATACATACTTGGAAATAACTTCAATGTAAAAACAAAAGGGATCAATGAAACTTTAAAAAAAGAAAAAGAAAACCAAATCAACTACTCTTAAGTTGCTACATGGACATGGATTGCTAGCTTGGGCATTTTACAGGGTAAGTTTGACAGATCTTCTCCATCTCTGGAAGTTTATTCTTTCTAGTGGTACTGAATATACCTCTGTGCCTTTGTGGAAGTCACTCCCCATGCCTGGAATGTCTTTCCTCTAACACTGACTGTTGGAATCTTATTTATCCTTCAAGGTCTAGCTCAAACATGAGATCTTGCCTGCTGCCTCCTGCCATGGGAAATTACTTTTCCTTCCTCAGATCTTAAAAAATACTGTGTACCCCCTTATGTACCTATGAATTATTTTCTACTGGAGTTATTTGTGTACATGTCTTATATCTCCTATCAGTTTGTAAATTCAAGGTGAACAACAACCATATCTTATTTATTTCTTTATGCCCCCAGGATACCACACTTAGGAGATGTGGGAGATAAATAGCAATGGAATTGAATTACCATCCAGAACAGATATCCTTAAGAATATACCGAGGGCCAAAAAGGCAGACAGAAAATGGAACAACAAAGTAACAGTTGGTACATAACAAAGTAAATATGGTAAATAAACTATTTATTTTGTTACATTCACAAACAGCTTTGGCTCAAAGGAGGAGAGTTAGATGGGTGATTAGAGGAGAGATTAATGCAGAATAAGATGGCGGAATAAATGCCCATTGACTACTTGGATGGAGAGGATTGGTGGACATAGTGGGAGACTGGAAGGTGGATTAATCATAATAAAATCTCAAATGTATAGAACACTTTAAGGTTTTCTCATTTGATCTTCATAACAACCCATTGAGGCAAATGCTACTACTATCCCCTTTTTTACAGGAGAGGGAACCAAGGCTAAGAGAGATGAAGTTACATACCAAGGGTCATACAGCTAACTGATGTTTGAGATCTTCCTGAATCCAAGTTCAGCCCCTAACTTTAGGTTAGATGGTATCCAAGGTTCCTTTCAGCTCTACATCTATTTTCCTATGGAAATGGATAAATTGGTGGAATTTGTGGGCCCCAAGGCCACCCTTCTCATAAAGGGCTCTCCCTTTTGGAGTCATTCTCTTAGGCTAGAGTACTGTTTTCATAAAGCCAATGCTGAAATGTAAGTAGATTCTCTGAGAGAGGAAGGTGGCTTGACGTCCATCTTCCCCCATTAGCCAATTCCCACTCACTAGTTAACCATATCATTTAACTGTCATTTGGAAAACAGAAGGCAGAGACTTATGGGATAAGGAAGAAGAAGTAAGCGGGATATCTCTGTGGATGAAAAAGACAGGGCTAAAGCAAGGGGAGCTGCTAGAGGAGGAGCAGCCTGGGCAACCAGGGGTAGTAGAGGGCACTGGGTAGCAAACCATCCCCATTGACAGAGTTTTGACTGTGGGCAAGACATTTCTCTAATCACCAAAACTATCATCAACGCTTATCGAGAGGTGCCAGCTGGAAGTAATAACACTGAATTTAAAATACTTCATTTCTCCCAGTGAAAAGGAGATCCCTTTACTCAATGACTCAAACCTCGCCATTCTAAAAAGATAACTCAACCAGCCAGGAGGAACATTAAGTACTATAGGATATCCACTTGCCCTTGATGCCCATGTTTCCCAAATTCACATCCGTCTATGCTACATTCTATTTCCACGAAGTCAACCTCTTGGGGAACACTGAGAGAAACACCTTGTTGATTTCAGCCTTAAATGATCAGTGGGCACTTACTTCATGGTAGCTGTTGATAATGGTATTGGATAATGGCAAGACTTAGTTCTCAATGCTGAGGGACTTATGGGACCAATGCTCAGAGTTTCCCATAAATTATTAGCTTATTTTAAAAATGGCGACCTTCTGAGGAGAAATTGAATAGTGTATTCATGAAGACTAAAAAGCCTGCAAATTCTCTTCAAGGTCCAGTTCAAGGGCCACCTCCTTCAACAGGACTTTCCCAGTAAAAGCAAACAGCTTTGAAATACTTAAGAACTCTAATCAATGCAAGGACCAACCAAGACTCCAGAGGACTCACAATGAAACACACTACCCACTCCAGACAGAGCAGTGAGGGACTCAAGATGCAAAATGAAGCTGTTTGTTGTTGTTGTTTTGGACAAAAACAAAGTGGAATTGGTTTTGTTTGACTATGCATATTTGTTACAAAGGCCTTATTTTTCCTTCTTTTTTAGTTGGGGAGAGGAAAGGGAGAAAAGGTGGGTTTTAGTTCTTTGAAAAAAATAAAATAAAAATTAAAGATTAATATGTGATGTTTCATAAAAAACTGCTTTGCTAAAAATCTGGGGAAACTCTTTTTACAGCATATCCATGATCTACTAGCTTAGCAGGACATGGACGGCAAGATGGACCAGGTTCATGAATTTTCTTTCAAAAAAGGAAATAAGGTTAATATGACATGACCTGTTCCCAACAAAGCCATAATGGCACTCTGTAATCACAAATTCCTTTTCTAGATCTTCACTAACCATCTCTTTAATGATCTGTGCTACTGGGCTAGAGTGTACAGATTCTGCCCACTTAAAAAAAGAAAAAGTCAGAGCTTCAACCCTCATCCACACCCTTCCTCATCTCACTGCTATCCTCCACCAACCTTCAAATATCACTGACAGTGGTTCAGTAATCACATCTGCTGGTCTCTGTCTATTTGATTGACTGATATATCCCACATTATGGTCACAGAAATAAGAGATAGTTATTACCTAATACAAACTGCTTCTTCTACAAAGAAGAAGACAGACTCACAAAGGTAAAGTGATTTCTCCTGGATCATAGAGGGAGCTTGTGGCAGAGCTAGGTCGCTTAACTTTTGGTTCACTTTCCACCCAACTATGTATATGTCTTATTCACCACCCTTATGAGACTATAATTTTTAAGATATTTTTTCGGCATCCCCAACTGTACCAAGCACAAAACTGCTAAATCCATGATACTTGTTGAGTGACTGGTAAGGTAGGTCAAGAGCATGACGAAAGCTAACACAATGCCAATAGAGACACCACTTCTGATGGAGGCCATGTGTAGCCAGCCTGACACTCTGTTGACAGTATTTCATGCTTGTATGAAATATACAGACATACTCACACCCAAACGGGGCTTTAGGTTTGCCAGTAATTTCCAGCGCTTCTCTCTGTGTAGATCTCTTTATATGCGCCTGAGCTCTAAAAATAAACACAGCTGTCAAAAGAAAGCAGAAGCAATTCATCGGATAGTTAAAATGTGAAGATTAACACAGGCTTGCTGGCTCAAGACCTCCAAGAAATTAGTCCAGGATGAAACAAAATAGGACCAGGATGGGGTATGAATTTGAATATACTTAAATATGTAAAGCACGGTCCTTGTCCTTTCTCATGCTCCTGCTATTCACAATGATTAGATGTGTCAGAGCAACAACTCGGCGGAGGAACATTCTGTGGCTTGAAGAAACCCTCAGTGCACAGGTCAGTAGGGCTGTGTTGTCGATGGAGTGCCCATAAATCTGCTCCCAAGCCATCGCTTGCTGACAGTATGTCATGGTTTAATTGCACCCAATCACGAGAAAACATTAGAAAGGAAGAAAGAGGCAGACAGCAGGAATCTAACAAGATTGGACAAATACACACTCCTTCAACATTTCCATTTTCTACCCACACAATGCATTATGCCAGAACTACAAATTTGCAGAGTTTGCAAAGATATAAAAACAAATGAATTAGGTCTCCTTGCAAAGAAAATATTCTGAATGTGAGCATGGGGTACGAACTCAAAGAGTTCTTCTTTAGGAGCACATTCATTTTTTCAGAGTACTGTTTAATCTGTAACATCTTTATCACAAGGTACATCTTAGTGGCAGGAAAGCACCAACTACATAGAACTCTGTGTACCCTAAATATTTAACTGTGAGCATGCAAATGATGGATGACATCAGGTGTCATGGACTCTGATTGGCGCCTTGAACTTTGGGAGGACTACAGAAACACAGTTTATTGGTCCCTAAATATTTATAGCAACACTTTTTGTGGCAGGCAAAGAATTGGGGGAAAAGTTGGTGCCCATCAATTGGGGAAGTGGCTAAAAATTGTTATATGTAAATATAATGGAATATGACTACATTGTAAGAAATAAGGAATATGAAGAATTCTGAGAAGCATGGGAAGAGTTGAACTGATGCAGAGTGAAGTAAGCAGAACCAGGAAAACAAAATGTACTTACAACAAATAACTTACAATGAATTAAAAAGAACAAAAAAAATCTTAACAATGCAATTATAATGGCCAAGCTTGGCTTCAGAAAAGAGAACACGCATCTCCTATTTACTTTGCAGAGATGAGGGACAACAGATATAGAACACTGCATATACTGTCAGAATCAATGGATGCGCTCATTAGTTTTGTTGAACTGCTTTTTTTTTTTCTTGTTTTTATTCTTTGTTAAAAGGGATAGATCCCTGGATAGAGGAGAGATATATTTGGAAATGAAGGTGGTGTAAAATCATAATTTTTTAGTTAAATGCTTTTAAGGCAAAAAAAATAAAAAGGAAAACAACATGTTTAAATTCCAACAAAGTAGTACCAACACTACACTGTACGATCTAATTTCTGTAGCCACTTACTATTGCCTTCATTTTCATAGCTGTCGCTAACATAGTCATTGTGCTTTTGGAGCTGCCCGATAGGCTGTTCTGGTCCATAGAACCCTATACCAGGAGGTTGGTCTAGGTCCAAAAGTATGTCCCAGCCTTAAGACCTCTGCTGTTGTCCTCCAAGTGATTGTCAGTGCTTAATAACTACTTACTGGATTTGACTGCTGGAAAGTACTTTTGGAAGCTCACTTTCTGGTCACTGGTCACTAATCTTTCTGCCGAGTATGACTGGGTTCAAATAACAGTTGCTGTTTAAAAAGAAATTAGGCTTTCTAAATGATCTGGAAGTTACGCCTTCCAAAGGATCCTTGCTCAGTGGCATGTAGTTCTCTAGTCAGTGCTTTCTGTTAACGCAGAGGCTTTTTGGATTTCAAATATGAATTTGCACTAAATCCAAATGGTTAAAAATAATTTGCTTAGAATCTTCCTAGGCAAAGTGAAATCTAAGAGCTTTTTGAGTCTTGTCCAGCCATACCTCAAAGATAAATGGGACTTGAAAGTCATATTCTTTGCAAGCTGAAATCCTGAGTCATACTACTGACCTTGGATCTCCTCTTGTCAAGGGCCAAATCTTGCCATTAAAAGCTTACTAAGCAATAGTTCCCTTTTTGGTAAATAAAAATGTAATAGTAAGAACAGAGGTATTTGCAGGCTTAAACATCCTTGAGCAATCAAATATTGTCAATTTCTCATTCAGCTGCTATGTTATAAATTTAGCAGTGGTACTCAAAGGTTTAAAAAAAAAAAGCCAAAAACCTTGTGTAGTAAAACAGCACATATTACAGAATTGCAGATATAGAGAATGGAAGGGGCCCTAGAGACCAGTGAGCCCAATGCCTTCATTTTACAAATGAGGTAACTGAGGCAGATGAAGGTTAAGTGACTTGCTTAGGGTCACACAGATGGTAAGTATCTCAGAAGTGAAATCTGAACCCCCAAGTCTGGTGCCCTGCCCTATCTACTGTACCATGCTGCCACTCAATACAATATATGAAAAGGGAAGAATTTCAATAGAGAAACATGAAAGTCTGGAAAAATGGATGAGTGGCATTCCTTATCAAAAGTGAGAAAAACATTCCTTTGCTCACTTTTTAGAAAAATACTACAATGTAAAGAATTGAAGTGGGTCTCAGATGCTAAAATGGGAATCCAACAAGCCACCATCCTGATTCCTCAAGAAAGTGAATTTGTCTTTTTTCTCAAGAAACAGGCACTCATTTAAGGAGTGCAGAAAAGTGAACGGAAGTGAGTAGCTATGATGGTTTTCTGCCAAACAAGTGCTTTGGGCTTTCTCAATGCAATTCGAACACAATACCCAATTCATCCTCGGCAGCTAAGCATCCTGGAGTTTGCTGAAGAGTTTTCTCAGCTTCCCCACGGAGTTTCCAAAGTTAAGTGAGAAAAGCATTTTTATGTTTTACCCAGAAGAACAACAACAGAAAGGTCATAAATCCTTCAAGACCCTGGCAAGATTTTTAATCCATAGTAATCAAGCTTCCTTGTAGAGCTAGTCTTGTGATGTCTGGAGTAGCGTCTTGCTATAGTAACAATAGTCTGAATGTTCCGGGTTCTTCCTTACATGCCCAGAATATTAATTAATGTTTCACATTAAGGGTGAAGTCTGAGCACTTCAGGTTCCCCATCCGAACCAGATATACTGATTAGGATTCAGATTCACCAGACATAAATAGAACTGAATTTCATAGCCCTTGTGTAGCATGTGATTATATATAATGTGCTTGCCTCAAGAATACTTGCCCAACAAGCAAAATTACAAAAAACACACGCACACACACAAAACAAACTACACAAAAAGCTCATAAGTCACTGGTGAAGTGATTATCTACACCTAGGCAGGAAGTCCCTGACTCCAGAATACATGGTTCATGGCAGGTGAGCAGAATTACAAAGAGACAACAGAGGAATCACTCAAAACACAGGGTTAGTTTCATTATAAGGTTCCTGAGAAGTATTATGAGTTTTCCCATTAATGAAGAACTTCTTCAAATCCTCAGGTTTTTCTTTGTAAACAAGCAACATATCCCCACAGAGAGAGAGAAAGAAGGGATTCATGGTTCATCTGGACAAACTTGATTCTTACTTTGCTCCACGAATTTCTGAAGATATTCAAATACATCAACATTTTCAGTCCCTGTTTAAAAATGAAAAATCCTTTTTCTGCCCTAAGCTCAGCCACAGATAGCTTGAACCTGCTCTGATGCCAGCCTGGCTTGGGGCAGGTGTTTACTAATTTGAGGTGAATTACAAACTGAAGTGAGCTCATTTGTAGAAATTAATTTCAACGTAGTAAAAATCATTGAAGCCATACTCCTACACATCAGGCAAGACTTAAGATCTGCTGCAATGAAATGTCTGCTGTAAAAGTGTGAGAGTAAGTCAACTATAAAGTTAAGAAATGAACTTGAATTTGACTTAATAATAATAACTTGGATTTATTGAGTTTTTAATAACTCTAAGAGGCAAGTATTATTATCCCCATTTTACAGGTAAGGAGATTGATGTACAGAGAGGTCAATGCCTTGCCCAGGATCGTACAAAGAAGATAATTGGCAGAACTGGAGCTCAACCTTCAAGACCAATCATGCTCTTTTCATCCCACCTCACCTCCTCTGATACATATGATATACATGTCCTCAATTAGTCAATCACTGAACAAGACCTTAATAGTGTCCTCATTTATTTATTTTTGGGCGAGGCAATTGGGGTTAAGTGACTTGCTCAGGGTCACACAGCTAGTAAGTGTCTGAGGCCGGATTTGAACTCAGGTCCTCCTGACTCCAGGGTGTGCCCTGCCCCTTAGTGTCCTCATTTATGAAATGTTCTGCAAGACGGATGCCCCAAGTCCTTGCTGCAAGTGTTATTCTGCCTTTTTCCTACCTGGGAAACAATGAAACAATACATTAATTCACTTAAGCAGCACTTAAGCACATAATATGTCTGCTCATAGACTGTTCCAAACACCCTCATGAGATATGGCCTGCCCGGCCACATGGCTGGGGGACCTTCACGTGGCATTTCCTGTTGAGAACACAAAGCCCAGCTCTCTGCTTCATGTCTGTAATTACACACAGTTTTCATCTTCCTGGATATCAAAAGCTAAACTGTATCTTTCACTTCAAAGGGGCAGCTGATCATACCCAGTGATTTACTGAATGCTTTAAAGCCATTCACTGGCACCAAACTCAACATGCTCCAAACAAAACTCTTTCACATCAGACCTTCCCCCTTACACCCTTCCCTATCGCCATGGAGGCCACCCCCATCTGTCAGGCATCTAGGTGCTTACTCTCACCCCACTCACCCAATCCCTTGTTTCTAACATCACAACTTATCTCATATAGCTCTCCTAGTTCACACCCTCATTACCTCTCATCTAAACTAATGCAAGATACTTCTAAATGATCTCCCCACACCAATCTATCCTCCATTCAGTGGCCAAGAGGACTTTTCTTCTGTGTCACCCCCTTTTTCCTCTCTAATGATTCCCAGTAGCTCCCAATCACTTCCAGCATCAAATAT